ACCCTCAAATCATAGTCCTTCCTATGTTTGCCGTGGTCGTCATCAAAAGAAGGGGGTGTGCTTTTTCTCATTGGGCAGGGTTTTAACGTGGCAGGACCCAAACCCAGCGCATACGGGGTGTTACGCCCTCCCACTTTAGCTCGCTCCCAACTAGTGTTCGGTCGCTACCCAGAGGATTCATGGATATAAATATCCGGACGTAGTGAGCTGCGATTTGAACCGTAAGCACACGAATGACTTCTGGCCACTCCCAGGTGAATGACAGTCAAAAGCTTTGCAGTACTGGGAAATGTACAGAACATAGTGGTCAAAGACGAATATCTCAACTAAACCCTGATGTATTTTTTATATTCATAGCTCTACATACCTGTATAGTAAACCAAATAGCCGGACCATACGTTATTCAAAATAAAAAAAATTTTCAAAATAAACTTTTCCGTATACTCCGCACTTTTGTAAGGTAAACTAACAATTTATAATCGTTGCTTTGCAGCGAACTATCTTCTCCTAAATTATATACATATGCAGGTATAAATTAGTCTGTTCCAATAGCAGTCCGGTTTACAGGATTTAGTCAGAACTTACAGGAAGTCCTTCCTATTGACATAAAACCTGTAAGTGGGAACACATTTGAGAGAGTAACTGAGCAACTGTTCCTAGTCAGAAGTTACACGTAGTCTGTTCCTTTGAACTTCGGACTAAAACCTGTGGAACTGTCAAACTACAATTTTACTCTCTCAAATGAGAGTAAAAGGAGAACAGATGCAGAAGTGCATAGGAACGCAAAAAAGCACTATTTCCTATAAAAACGTCAGTCGGTTTGTTTACATGTCATTTGTACAACACTGATTTAGCTGAAATATCACTAAATAAATATTAAAATCTATACATATTCAAACATTTCGTTGTTTACTTCCATTTTTTTTTACAAATATAGGGTACTTTGCTTTCACCGCTGTTAGTTTTTGCTTGCACATGCAAATCAGCTGATCGTTTGACACTTTTCATGAACTTACAGGAAAAGAAACTCCGGACTAAATCCTGTAACTTCTGACTAGGAACAGTTGCTCAGTTACTCTCTCAAATGTGTTCCCACTTACAGGTTTTATGTCAATAGGAACGACTTCCTGTAAGTTCTGACTAAATCCTGTAAACCGGACTGCTATTGGAACAGACTAACGATTTAGTCCGGAGATTTTTTTCCTGTAAGTTCATGAAAAGTGTCAAACGATCAGCTGATTTACATGTGCAAACAAAAACAGAAAGCGGTGAAAGCAAAGAACCTTATATTTGTTAAAAAATGGGAGTAAACAACAAAATATTTGAATATGTATAGATTTTAATAATTATTTAGTGATATTTCAGCCAAATCAGTGTAGTACCAATGACATGTAAACAAACCGTCTGACGTTTTTACAGAAAATAGTGCTTTTTGCGTTCCTATGCACTTCTGCATCTGTTCTCCTTTTACTCTCATTTGAGAGAGTAAAATTGTAGTTTGACAGTTCCACAGGTTTTAGTCCGAAGTTCAAAGGAACAGTCTAAATATGAGGACGTATTGACCATTTCGAGTATGCAGATTTTGTATGCTGGTATATTCATTTATTCTAAATATATTACTTGATTTTGTTTTGTCTCACCGTATACTAAATAAAAAATACATTAAGGGCTGTTAGCTTATCTATTTTAAAGTATACTTAAATCATTAGTTAAACTTAACTAAAGAAATTTCTGTGTAGTTTTTCTGTAGTAAAGTTTAACTAATGAGTTAACTATAATTTAAAATAGATATATTAGCAGCCTCTAATATGCTATTTTTATTATAGAAATTTATGTGCGCTATATGATTTCTGCCAGCTGCTGTTATTACTTAAGAAGTAAACATCTTGGCTGTTCACCAAACCGGTCTATAGTTTTATCAATAATCTCAGATTGGTTCTCTGATACAAAACATTCGATGTACGCTTAGAAGACACAAACCTAAAGAAAAAGTAATAAACAATTGACCTATAAATTTATTTATTAGTTTACCGTTCAATCCATTTTCGCTCATTGTCCACTGCAGCTACGCTTTTACCCTTTTTAAATGGAAATTTTTTGAAGTTAGCGAGAATAACTTATAATATTAAGGTGGAATTTTCAATATTTTCAAAAGCTTATATTTCCAAAACTGTTTCACAGATTTTCATGGATATGGTTGGAAAGGTAATTAATATACATACCTTTTATTTGATATGCATATCTTTATATATTTTATATACATATTTCGGGAAAAACTAAAAAACGAAATTATAACCATTTTTTTAAATAAAATTGAGCGTTTTTCTAAAAAAATGCATAAATAACTATATTAAGTGATGTGTTTATTAGAAAGAGTTGAGAAATACCTTTAAATTGATATATTATTTTATATAGTTAGGTTTAAGCACATGTTGCCTGAGGCTTTTTTCCATATAAAACGGCAACACCAAAAGGAGAATTTTACTTCGTGAGGGTTATAATCCCTAAGTGCGGTCGAAGGCCGCCTACGCAGAGAGGTGTTCTCCGCAAAAGGTGTTCAGCCCCTCTTCTTCGGCAGCACAGAAAGGAGAATTCTACTTCGTGATGGTTATAATCCCTAAGCGCGGCCAAAGGCCGTCTACGCAGAAACAAGTTCTGCGCAAAAATACTTCCGCACCCCCTTTTCCGGCAATACAGAAAGGAGAATTCTACTTCGTGAGGGCTATAAGCCCTAAGCGCGGCAGAAGGCCGCCTACGCAAAACGAAGTTCGGCGCAAAAATACTTCCGCCCCTTTTTCCTGACAACAGAGAAAGGAGAATTCTACTTCGTGAGGGTTATAATCCCTGATTGCGGCCCAAGGCCGCCTACGCAGAAAGAAGTTCTGCCCCTTTTTCCTGGCAACACAGAAAGGAGAATTCTGAGTAGTAAAAGTTATAATCCTTAAGCGCGGCCAAAGGCTCCGCCCGAACTTAGACTTTCTTACTTGTTTCATTTATATAGTTACAATATGTATACTTACATCTTTATTTGCAATAAAAACACACTTTTTATGTCATGTACATCTTCGTCTTGATTTTAAAAATGCAAACTCAAGCCTTCCTATTTCGCATCTGTACATAATAAAATGGTAAATTAAAGCCTTTTTCAATTCAACGAAATGTAACTGTTCATCAAAATTTAATTTTGCAATACAAAAGAATTTTTGCGACACAGCATACATCAAATTAAAGGTATGTTTATGCACTTTTTAAAAATAGTATTTTTACATATAGTTAATTACGTATATTTTTTAGAAAAAACGCACATTTTTATCAAAAAATGGTTATAGTTTCGTTTTTTTAGTGTTTTCGAAATATGTTTACAATATATATATACATAGATATTCATACCAAATAAAGTCGTTTCAATTATCTTTTCAACCATAGCCCCGATTTGAAAATCGGTGCAATAGTTTTCGATATATAAGCTTTTGAGGATATTGAAAATTTCACCTTAACCCCCCTTTAGCTCCGCCCCTATTAATTTCCACCCAAAATGGTTTACACCTTTAAAATCAGTAAAAAGGAGCGGACCGCGCCCACTTTCTATTTTTATTTTTTCTCAACGGCTTCTACACTGCACTTGTTCGACAATTTGGAAGTTAGGGGGCGCCTCCCGCCCCTACCTGGCTACGCCATCGTATGCAGGTGTGCCAAATGAGTGCCCGGCATGTCTCTCCCCCCACGACTCGAAACATCACTTCGTATGCCCGGAAAACACCTCACTGACGTCACTGTCCCTGTGGACAGAACCTATAGAGGCTGCACGCAAAATTATTAGTTGCGTTCCAGATGCTTCACGATGTTCACGAAATTCACGATTTGCAGGAACAGCTGTTTTCTCCATTAATAAACTTTATGGGAGGTGGTCACCTGGTACGACTTCTTGTAAACACCTGCAAATCGTGAAGCATCTGGAACGCAACTATTGTCAGCTACTTTAAACGCACAATTTAGGTAAAATGATGCAACAAAATGCTTTAAAATGTGTTGTCATGTTGAATTAACTCTCCTTTACTTGAATAAAGGTGTAAAATAGTGGTGCTTGTGATGTAAACAAACGCTCAGCTGACGAACCCGCTTTCGCAAACTTTTTTCTCAAAACCAGTTACAAATACAACGTCGCGTTCTTACGTGATCTTGTATTTTTAGTTCATGTGAACGTCCCACACTCTCTTTTCGTTTACACATGCGACTATAGTCGTGTTTTCTTTGGATATAGAGCTCAGTATCACTAACTTTATAGTACTACACGAGGATAAAGAAATTATAGAAACTAACTCACTAAATATAACATAAAGGCTGTTTATTTGAAACAAGTTAAAATAAACAATGACAGAATGTCTGTTTGTGTATGAATTCAGTTGTCACGGCTACCAAACTTTGCGGCCAAATTATCAGTGAAACAAAACAAACAGAACGGATAATAATTGAACCAGATCTCTACCAGGATCACATCGTTGTTGTTGAATTTGCGTGCAAGATTTTTATGCGGATCCCGATCATTGCCCAAGAAAACATAGCTAGAGTTGCGACAGAGTTGCATTGACTTCAGCTTATCAAGTTTATTCAGTGAAATCGCTGGAGAAATTTATCAGAAATGTGTAAACGACTTTCCATACAAATTTTGACAGTTCATTTATAAGGTTTACACAATTATAAGTTTATACGGTTTACAATGCATTTGTAAAGTTTGATGAATACCCTTACTATCAGTTTCACTAATGGTTGTCTGCAGTTGACTAATGCGCATCCATTAGTTAACCCATAGTTAAAAACCGCTATTTTTCTAGTAGTTAACTAATGACTGGAAAATTGCCCGTAATGTCTAACAAAATCATGATAAAAAATTTTGTCTGTGTAGACGCGACGTAAGGCTTGTACTATTTTTTTTGAAATAGGGCCTATTTAGCAAAGTTTTTGCCGGCGTCAAAATAAAAATGTTCAGCGCTATAGTACTGCTGAAAGTTGATTGTTGCCGATTGGATGTACATATATTCTGGGAGATAGCATTGCTTGGTTTCCTAAAATTAATTCCCTTTGAATTAATTCGCGCTTATTATTTGTTAAGTGCTAAAATTATTGTAGTAAAAACATAAGGTTAAATGCAATATATCTTTTCGGGTTCTGTTTAACGTGGAAGAGAATGATATCGATGAAATAAAAGAAGCGAAAGGAAGCAAGAAAATGTGTATATGACAATATCTCGGTATGAACTGAAGTGATCGATTAGACGTAAAATTTTAGTGTCCCTTTTGAGAAAGAAGGTAATGTAAATAACAATCATTAACGTGATATTGTTAATGGAGGTAACCGTTTATAAAAGCTCATAAGTTAGTGTGAAAAACTAAAATTGCCGGAACAAAAATGCATACAAACATGTTTACTGAAATAATACTCAAGTATCCGTTAAAGGGTGTTTACATGAGGCGATTTGACCGGCAACATTTAGTTGAAAGCAAAAATCGCCTTGCCTTGTACAGCTTAGGAAAATTTTCCTTAAATTCGGTCATAATTTGAAAAAATAGGCCGTATAGAAGCGCTTTTTACGATTCTTAAAGTGAAAACCCCAGGGCGCGGAGGCTTTTATTTAAAAAGTTATTAACTTTTAGTAAAGTTGCACGATTCACCATACAAATTTCACTGATTAAATGGAAGTGGTGGAAATGAACACCAAAACGTGGGGGGTTTTTGAATTCACCTTTATTGAATACTGTTTTATATAAAAAAAAGCGACGCAGGCGAAGTATTGCGGCATATTCTGGATTTCGTGCAAATCGAAAATTTGAAATTTTTGTATAGAAAATGAGATTAAAACTTGGTAATTCTCTAGTATAGGGTTACAAACGCTAATTTCGGAAATGTCGGGAGGGGTACCAATCGACGCGTTTGGGTCCCGGTATTAACAGTCCGGAATGGGAGGGCTAATATTGTTAACCATTTAAATGTTATAAACAAAAAACTTTGTTAAATTTCGTTGTTTTATATGGGCAATTACCCCGATAAAGACTCACTAAATCACCTGTTCTCACTTTTTAAACACTACTAAAATATATAATTTAACTTAATTATTAAACAAACACATAGTTTTATCAACCTAAGATAGATTATTTTGTTACTAAAAAGAAGTTGACAATCTTTGCGAGATTCCAAAATAGCTATAGTGCTGCCACTGTATTAGTATTTCGTAATAATTCACTTTTCCTAACAAGGGGTGTGCAGTATTCAATGCTTTTCGGTATCTTCTTTCGTTTGATATATATATTATATATATAAATTATGAAAATTTTTAATAAAAAATCGCGCGATTTTTTATTACAAATTTTCGCCTGCGGCGCTTTTCCCATACAAATCAGTACTTCGATAAATAATGAAGATTTTTAAATAAAAAATCGCGCGATTTTCGCCTGCGCCTTTTTTCCATAAAAATCAATATTTCGATAAATAATGAAAGGTTTTAATGGTAAAATAAAACTTGTGGCACTCCATGACGCTTACTTTTAATTTCAGTTGAAATAACTAAACCATAAAAGTAGCGCTGCCATGGTATAGCGAAATTTGCTATTATATTTTGTTTAGAATATTGGATTTAGGTGAAAGTAAATAAAGAGGAAGAAGTGTATAGTGTAAACCGAGGGTAATAGCGCAAAAGAAATGTGAAATACCAGCGATTTGAGGTTATAATAATTTTGGTAGGCGCAAAGTTTGTTTACTCTGTATATTAACGAAATATATAAAATAAAAGTGAATAAATGATTTTGATTGCAAAAAACAATAACCGGAGACGTTTTAATAGTGTTTTAAAAGTGGAAACTGGTGATTTAGTGCATTTTCGACGTGGTAATTGCTCGTAGAAAACGAAATTTAACAAAAGTTTTTTGTATATAACTTTTAAATGATTAATAATACGAGCAATCCCGTATTCCTCGGACTCGGACTAGTAAAACTGTCTAAAAATAAAAATTCGCTCAGAGCGAGAGAGTAACATTGAAAAGTACGGGATCGCTTTCTAGTAAAAAATGGTAACTTCTGTCAACTTAAACATAACCTCCAAATTTTGGTTGTAAATTTTTGCTTATTTTGTATGTAAACAAACTCAGCTCACACATTTAAATAGCCAAAAATACTTTCAAATTCATTAGAATCCACTTAAAACAAGTAATTAACTACTTTTCAACATGAATTAGCAGAGTGCACTTTTCTTTTGTTTACAATTTGGTTGCCAAACACACTACAGCTGATCGTTTGACACATTTACCAGAATTTACCAACAAAAAATTCTCGGACTAAAACTGGTAACTTCTGACAGAGAGGGAACCGTATTTACTCTCTTTTTTTGTCCTCTCAATAGTCGGAGAACCGAGTACGGGATCGATTTCCAGTAAAATCTGACTGTTTCTGACTAGTCCGGACTCGTATGGGATCGCAACTAATATTAGCCCTTCCCCTCCGGATTGTTAATAGGGGGACCGAAACGCGTCGTTTGGTACCCTTTCCCGACTTTTCCGGACCTTATTTAGCGGTTGTTACCCTATACTACAGAATTACCGAAAATTTATTGTTTTTCGATTCGTACGAAAACAAGAATACGCCCCATTGATTTTAATAAAAAATTTCATTATTTATCGAATTGTATAAGAAAGCGCCGCAGGCGAAAATTAATCATTATTTATTTATAAAATTATTATTTTTCTTTTTGAAAAGAGCGCCGCAGGCTGGAATTTTTAATAAAAAATCGCTTGATTTTTTATAGAAATTTGTGTTATTTATCTAAGTAGTTTTTTTTAAAAGCGCGTTTTTTTTATAAAAAATGGGAAATTTTTCCTTAAATTCGTCACAAATTTGAAAAAAAAAAATGAGGACGTGTGGAGGAGCTTTTTCCAATTCTAAAAGTGAAAACCCCAGAGCGCGGAGGCTTCTATTTAAAAAGTTAATAGTTGTGTTTGTTTACAAATTATCCAGTAACTTGCCAGAAACTCTCCAGTAACTTTATTTCTAAGAATTCGCTCAGAAGAAATTTACAAAAAAGTACGCGAACGCTACTCCACTAAAAATTTGCAAGTTGCATGAACAGCTGATAAATTGGTTGTTTATTCGCAGCATATTCCTAATAAAACAATATATTTTATATTTAAAAATGTTTATTTTGTGAATTTCCACAATAAAAACCCACAAATAGTTTCCTTGTTAGTTTAAATTTCATCCAGCAACATGCGATCAGCTGTTTTTCTTACTGGCAAATTCTTACAAGTAAAAGTTGATCCAGTAAAATCCAGTAAAAACTTGCAACTTCAACTGTCATTTTTCGCTCTCTCAATTTCCCCTAGTTTGCAAGTTTTTGCGTACGAAAACGCCAAAACATGAAAATTCGTAAAAACTTTTACTGGATTTTACTGGAAATGAGTAAACAAACGCAACTATTACCTTTTAAATTTGCAGAATTCACCATACAAATTTCATTGATTACTTGGTAGTTTTGGAAATGAACACATACCTTATTTATACCTATGAAGAAACCGCATTAACAAAAAACCGATTTGATTCAACACATATTTCTTTCTAACGTTTATTCCTCGGTCTTTATAGCGCACTCGATTAAACCGTATTGAAAAGTAAACAAACTTCGTTACTTTTATTCGATATTTATTTAATAATAAATTTGCGCGGTGGACCGAAATGGAAGCGAACAGCAATACAAATTTATTATAATAATAAATACAATTAAAAACGGGCTGCATAAAGAAAAATAGCCAATTTTGATTTTGCGTTAAATGAGTTATTCGTTTATACGGGTTTTCTAACCGATGTGAGAAATAAAAAATCGATTTGAAAACAAATTTGAGTCAATACACTTTTCGACTTGAACGCGCATTGAAGTTTTGTTTATGCATCTGATTTGAACCACACCGAACTGAGTCACAGCGCTTTATGTGTCGGTATAAACAAGATAACAGATGTTGGTGTTAAAACCGAAGTTCATGGAAAATTTATGATTTAAGTTAATGTATTAATAGTTGCGTTCGACAAGTCAAAAATTTGTAATAGTTTTTCCAAATTTTTACTGGATGGCGTTCGATAACGACAAAAAACTATCCAACACGCAAAAATTGAGAGAGCAAGCGTTCATTTTGATGCAAGAGAAGCGTTCATTTTGTACTGGCAAAATTTTAGTCAGCAAAAATTATCCAACACGAAAACATATGATCATAGAACATATGGTTGCAATTTTTGTAAACAAACAATATTGCATTTTTCGAGTTTTGGTATTTATACGCTTTTTGGCTGCCTTCTATGTGACTTTATGATAGCGCCAACTAGTTTTTACTTCTAGAAATGTTCCTGGCGAACATTGAACGTTCACTTTCCTTTTTTCTTCCATGGAGGAAACATGAATTTCAGTTTGTTTACAAATAAAACATAAACAAAGTCAGCTAATGTGTCTTCTTCCGGTTTTTGCAAGTGATGTCTAATTTCCTGTTCGTTTACTTTTTTGCTTTTTCTTTTCTTTGGGAGAGAATTTTCGCTTACGCTCTTGATTTTGATTGTTGGCTAATTTTGTTATCGACCGCAACTAGTAATAGGTGTGTACTCGTATTGAGAGGACACAATTCTCCAGCAGCAAACGTTCTGAGAATTTAGCAGCATTCCCACGACAGCCGGTTCTACGTACCGGAATGACTCGGTTTTTACCCGACCAAGGGCTGTTGTTTTGGCGATCTAACCCCGTTTAGGTCAACGAAATCCATCAAACGTTGCACGATCCTAGGGCTACACCTTCTCCGCACCCTTCTGTCAGGGCCAGAAATCTACACCTGCCGCGTATGCCAGAGACGACTGCATACAAACTCCACCTCGGTCAGGTGCAATGCCTGTGACGGGTGGAGTCCCCTTCGTAACTGCTCGGGCCTGCGTACGCACCGGCAATGGACCACGTCGTTCTTGGTTCTGTGCGAACCGGACCGTCTCCACGGCAAACCACCACCCGCCTGGGCAGCACACAATCAACACACCCACACCCTAACAACACAGCAATACGTCGCATCCCTCCCCCGCGACGCCGCCAAC